AGGACACGGAAGTCATCGAGCCAATAGGCTGCGGCTCCGTCGTTTGTAGTCGCCGACCAACTCAAGGGTGCATACGAGTTCAGCTCGGAAACACCAAAATCGAAGATAGACAAGGGTTCGGTACCCGAAGACCCAGTGCCTAGAACCATCGTCCACATCTCGCACGAGATACCCTTGTGTATTACCGAGGTAATACTCTCCCGAGCGCTCATAGTTAGACATCAGGCGGGGTGAGCTGTGCCAATATAAAGACCGACGACTTTCCGTCGTAGAGAAGGCATCGACTACCATCACTGGGAGTTAAGCCATAACAATCAGACATTGTTACTCTTGGATTTACTCTCTCTCCCTATTCGTGATTATCCAATCATCAACCCTTTTCAGTTGTTTCCAAGAACAAGCCGCCGTGCGAATCAGTTGGGTGTCCACGTTTAGTTCACTGCCATTGTACAAGTGCTGTTCTCTTCTGATCAGTAGACTGTCTCTGCCCGCTGCTGTGAGCGTGCCAACTGTGAACCACCCCGGTGTTACAATGCTTCGCTAATCGAGAATAACACATTCACGTCCGTTCCTGACACGGATGGCCATAAGCCTATTGGTTGCAAATGGATTTACAAAACCAAGCGGAACCCCAACGGAAGTCTACGCTACAAAGCTAGGCCCGTCATGAAAGGCTATGAGCAACGAGAAGGAATTGACTTCAGTGATACATACGCACCTGTTGGTAAGTTGACTACTATACGGTATTTACTGAGTTTTGCAGCGCGGAACCATTGCCGAATCGATCATCTCGAAGTTGTTACCGCGTTTCTCAACCCCGAAATCGATGCAGAAGTTTACCTGCAGCTCCCGGAAGGAATCGAATGGCTCGAGAAGACGGCAACCGCAACCGAACATCAATTCCTATGCCTCAATAAGGCTCTTTACGGCCTACGGCAAGCACCGAGACTATGGTACCAAGCTATTGATAGTTCTTACTGTCGATTGGTTTCTATCCATCGAACGCGGACCCCAACCTCTACATCCGGAGCGATGGCGTCCTATTGCTGCTCTACGTCGACGACATGCTGGTTGTCTACATGGACTCTGCCACCGCCAATACCACGGGAGTGAAGGAATCACTGATGCGTCAGTACAAGATGACAAACCTTGGGCCTGCGAAGCAATTTCTCGGTCTTGAGATTGACCGACTTGCAGATGGGTCGATCACCCTTAGTCAACAAGCCTACATTAAGGTTATTCTGCATCGCTTCGGCATGGAAGACTCGAATCCGGTTCCGACTCCCCTATACCACAAAGTACGGCTCGATGTGGCAGATGAAACAGACTCGGAAGTGGATACTGCGGAATACCAGTCAATGATCGGCAGCCTGATGTATGCGGCCCGTGGAACTCGTCCAGATATCACCTACACCGTCGCCGCTCTCAGTCGGTACAACGCAAAACCGTATACGGCGCACCTATCTGGCGCAAAGCGAGCATTGCGATACCTGAAGACCACGATCGATGCAAAACTCATCTTCCCGAGCAATGCATCTGTCGACTCGGACAGTACATTATGCGGCTACACGGACTCAGACTTTGCGGCGGACTCGGCGGATCGGAAATCTCAAGGAGGCTACATTTTCACCCTACACCGCGGACCCATCTCCTGGCGGAAACCGACTCTTGTCGCGACATCCACCACCGAAGCAGAATAACTAGCCTGTTCAGAAGCGGCCAAAGAGGCTCAATGCCTTACATATCTCCACAGAGATGTCACCGGCGAGACTGGAGTACCTCTACTGTATACAGACTCACAAGGCGCTTTATCGACGATTTACTCGGAAGTCTCGAGCACCAAAACCAAGCACATCGACATAAGCGTTCATAACAGTCGCGACCTACACTCGAAAGGAATTGTGAATCTCTCACGAGTCTCCACCGACGAGAACCTTGCCGATCTCATGACCAAGGCGCTCGGCCCCGACAAGCACGCCTACTTCACCAACCGGATCGGTCTACGCACACAATAACTTTTTTCATCGTTCCGACCCTTTTTCTTTCATGGTTTTCATTTTCTTCTTCTTCTTCTTTTGGTTCTCATTTGGATCTCGTTCGGATATCTTACTGTTTATGTTCGGCATGTTGTGAGCTGATACTCTTTCCTAGCAGATTTTTCCCACGAAGGTTTACTGCATAGGTTTTAACGATGCCAGCGAGGATAGGGCACATTTCTTTTCATCATTTATCTTGTTGCTGCTTATCTCCTTTCATTGTACGCAACACAGCAGGAGAGGGAAGTGTCATAATCTCACGAACTTCTGTGTACCGCGTCACTTCCGCGGACCGGGTCATGCAAGATCACTCGCTATGTCGGGATACTTCCGTTATCCGTTCTCACACGGAGGTGCCGAGCGGCAGCGTGGGGCCTCTATCCGAGGCATCCCCGAGCCTTTCTGTATATATACTTTTCTTTCTGTCGTGTCTGATACTCAATATACCATCTCGCGATACCACTTTTCCTGACATCCGAGCCCGCGATGATAACGAGTGAGATATTACAACAGTAACGAGCTAAGGCTCATGATGTAGATCCTGTGGAGCGCGGCCCGGAAGGCGCCCGAGAATGAGAAGGCTGCCGAATATATCCTTACCAGAGAACGGACTCGAACCCGACCCAGGCCCCCAAGTGTCTGCCATCGAAATACCACCGGATTCCGTCTAACTAGCAGCTGACTCTGTCTCCCTGCCCCATTTGTCGGGATCTCGGGTGATGAAGCTCGGAATCACGCGCAAAAGAGTTTGTTGTCTGTTACAATCACAGGTTTATTTCATTTAACGGGTTTTAACGAAGATGATCTAGTTTTCGAATTTAATGTGGAGCATGATCCAGTTTTTTTGTCTGTCTAGTTAAGTGCTCAACTGCCCTGCGGCGCCACAGCGCCACAACGCCAGCACACCAGCGTAAACCTCACACAGCCTACTTGCACGTGTATTCGCTGGCAAGATATAACAATGCTCCACGCTGCCACGCCGTGACAGTTATCCAAGCTGTTAAGAAGATCCCGATAGCTTTCATGCCTGATTAATTGTCACGGCATAGCTGGATCACAGCATACAATGCTGCAATGCCACCAGCCTCGATGGAAAATAAGCATCGTGAAGCACATGCAGCGATCCGAGGGGGAGGAGGAGGAGGGAGGGGAGGCGGAGGAGGTGGTGGAGGAGGAGGTGGAGGAAGAGGTGGCACAATGTTAACTACCACTCACCCGTGTTCCTAAAGGGCGGCCACCAAAGAAGCGGATGACTAAGTGTGAATGAGAAGGAAATACCAGCAGGAGCATGGGGGGGTTACCGAGTATTCCAGACCCTGCCCCACCCCGCTGCGCAACATGCAAAGGCATAGGCCATTATGCCTCTACGTGCAGAAAGGCGTATCCAAAGGCACTTTTACTCTCCGCGGAGTCTAACTTTGTATAGTCTAGTAATGCTGCAAACGACCATCAATTAATGATGTTTTCTCTCTTGTATTCTTTTCTGACGCTGGCACGCTGGCGCTGTGGCGCAGCATGGCAGCTGAGCGCGTGATGGGGAAAACTGGATCGGCCTCGTCAAAACCTGACAAAAAACCTAGATCATCCTACGCATTATTTTCAAAAACTAGATCATCCTCGTCAAAACCTGTTCATTTAAACTGCCCCCCAGATTCTGCAACTAATAGCCCCCCCCTCCCCCCCCCCCCCCCCCACGCCGCACCTCTGGTCCTCTGGTATAAAACGGCGATAGGCGCCAGCGAAATTATCCAGCTAGCGCAACGCGGGTCCGCGCGAAACAGCGAGGGCACAAGTGTTTGCGTCCATCACTGGTCTTCTCTGAGTGGTAGAAGAGACAGACCCTGTGGATGCAGGCGTGACCGCAAGCTATCATCTTGCATCCCGTGCCATTCTCGACTGGTTTCAGGCAAAATGGACATTTGGTCCAGAAGGTCATGTCGATGGTAGAACAGCCGCGGTTGTGTGATGGAAGTAGTAGAATTAGCTGGTTGAAGCCGGTAGTACTGGTGAGTGCTGTAGTGGCGTCGGAACTGTCGAAGGTCGTAGCAGATGTGAAAAGAGGTGGGTGTCTCGATGTCCGGTATGTGTAGTGAGCTGATGGAGAAGATTAAGAGCCCGAACGAGCATTTACGCGGGCTTGTAGCGATGAAAGTGAACATAGAAAGCAAACAAACAGGATGCATCTATAATGGTGTCATGAATTCCGGTAGAAAGATACAGCTGGGCAAAAACAACAGCGTTCAACGATGATACATGGACACGCATTGTCTTTCTGGTCTCTACAACTCACATGCCCAACGCGGGTCGGTGTCGCTCCAAGGGTTTGATATCTCAATCGACTCCTTGGTCACCTGGCATCAGGGGCTGCGAAATTCAGACCGGAGCTCTGCACTTCTTTAGGTCGATCAATACATATTTCACCATCATCTTGATCTTTTTTATAGTCATACTCGCAGTAAGCATATGTGAGACTATGGCGGCCCAAGTTTCCCGCTTTGCTCTTCAACGTCCAAATTCCAGTCTTCCAGAACACTGGCTCTGTGTGGAATACCCGGCTCCCTAACTCACGGCCTTCCTCCAAGACGTGTGAACACATCAAAGATCTGTTATTCACCGACGAACCGATCCGCGAGCGGCCCTCGCAAGCCACTCCGAATTTACCCCTCGTAGATACTTATCCACATCCCCCGAGCCCGTTTCCGCGGCTATGACCCTGTCCACGGCCACTTTCCCCGCTATCCTCCTAAGGGGAGACTCTACGGCATCGCTGTGCTCACTTGACGGTCTACCCGCAGCATGTGAACAACGGCTTGCCTAAAGCACACAGAGTGATATGTTACAACACCCAGTCATTGACGAGTGACAGCCGATGGCCACAGACAGGGCGGTTAACCGTCCGTCCAGTGCATCTTTGAGGTTACCGGGCCCAGGCGAACAAGGACTGCAATCTTCCGGGCTGGCGAAATGAGGACGGAATCTTGCCGCCTGATGGACAGCATCCGCTGTAAGCGGAGTGTGTCCTCGTCGTCTGGTTGATTTCGTGGTTCCGGACTGCGTTTGAGCCACCTCGATTGCCACGTGATGTACTAGCCGACTGGCGTGGTAACAGTGTTAGAGTAAATCACGCCTGCGCAAACGACCCTCAACTCCCAGGTGTTATTGATGCCGAGGGCTCGCGGAGGCTCAGCTACTCTTATAAATAGTTCACCACAGAGATCCTTCCTTCCTTCCTTCCCACTACATCCCTCCTGTTACTATCACAATCCAGATAGCGACAATCCCCTTGATTACTTTCTTCCTTCCCACCAAAACATTTCTTTCCAATTACCATTCAACATGAGAATCAGGTGATACTATGCCCTGATAGATTTTGCTCACACCGCATCGACCGCAGAGATCCTGGCAGCCATCGAGCTGGCCATAGAGGAGGTGAGGCGCGGCGCGATGAGATCCAAGGATGTAAGTCCGCGCATTTCATTAATGGTGGCATAATTACGCAGACTGACAGGAAGAACCAGCTCCGCAAGTACTTGCAAGTGCTGACCCGCCACCGGCGTCGGGAAGCCTACGACCGACGGTTTCCTCACGGATGTAAGTTTCTCACCCTTGCGCATATCTATTTCCCTCGCTCATGATTGTTTCAGGCGCAGTGTGCATCGGTGAGCCCGTGAGGTTGGAGGGCGAGTCGCCGCTCGCTAGACGAGGCCGTCAGCCCCGCCTCTCCGAGCGGCCAGTAGACGTCGCCCGCCGGATTGGCGTCTACGAGACATGTCCGCTTCTTGCTTTGCTCGCAAAGCGGCAGAGGAAAGTTAGCACCTTTCCTCAGCAGCTTTGGGATGCTGTAGATATCAAGAGGCGTGCGGCGGCGAAGGAGAGGCTGGTGTTGGTGGCGGAGGGCGGGGCCACGCTCAATACGATCTGCGGACGTATGGGGTGGACCGTCGGTGCAACGAGCAGAGGTGAGTGAACTCCCCCTGACATTCCATGGCCACAGGTTACGTGGTGAGGTTTTTTACCTACGGGTTTTCCTCTGAAAAAACGTCGTCTTCCTGACCGCTGCGCGAGGGGACGAGTTTTTTTGCCGTGCGAAGGCTGCTTTGCTGCTGTGCGTCGTCAACAACCGATGGATTAGCATTCGCATGTTGGGTAGTCACTCGCCCAGTGCTGCGGGAGCAGAAATTATGCCCGGTTTCAAATGCCTCTCAGGTAGCCTGAAGATGTGTATGTATCTCTCGCATTTCCTAAAATAGTATTTCCTATTCTACAAGATATGAGAAACGCTGGACGAAGGAGATGGGCTCGGTTGGTCGCAAGACAGACTCGTCACGGATGCTCAGCGACGGAAACCCGCACCTCCTGTTGGTAGCCTTCCTCGTCTAGAAGCAGCGATACCATCATCACACCTTTTCTTGCCTGTGCTGATTTTTCACCTCTTTTCTCCTACTGGATCGGCCTTTCATCCTGCCTTGTCCGGACCCACGAAATTTCGATCACACGTTCGCACTCGGGCTCCGTATTTCGCTTTTTTGACGACAGTTCTCGCAGAGTGCGATAGAACCGCATCGGGGGCAGAGCAAGAGTGCCCAACAGGGTACTGCGTCCGCAGCTGATGCGAGGAAGTAGGAGAGGAGGATACGGGGTGATAGTTTGTTTTTAGAGCGGAAGCGGAGGACGAGGGAGAGAGGTGAGGGGGCAGCAGGAGGAGCGGGCAAGCGGGCATGTAGGCCCATACCGCTCTTTACTGTCAATCTACTTTCTACTTTTTGCTTGTGTCGGCCCGAGGCGGATGGGCGGGGAAAGTGGGGTGGCGCATCGGACAGGCCAGTACCGGGACTTTCATCTCGACTGGCCAGGGCGGGCACGAAAAGGAGTTCGTTGGTTCGCCATAGTCTAGATGGGCTGCATGCGAAATGAAACAGGAACATCTCTATCTTTTCCCAGGAGTCGAAGAGCTTTCTCTCTCAACCACTGGCCGAGTTGCCGTTTGCCGATATATGGTCCCCGATGGGATACTGGCCGAGGTGCAGTCGCCAATCGTAAGATCCTCGATAGGATACTAGCCGAGTTTCACTCGCCGAAAGAAGGGTCTCCGATGGGATACTCGCTGCGGCGCTCGCTGATAGGTCGCTGGCCAAGGTGCACTCGCCGAGAAGATTGTCCCCGATGGGATACCGGGCGAGGTGCACTCGCCGCGAGTGTGCTGACCGAGTTGCGGTTCCCCGATAGTGGAGGCACCGATGAGTAGATCATCGTCGCTGCGCTTCTACTCCGTTTGCGACATGGTACTCTCGTAGCGGCCGTCGCATTCGCATTGGGAGGATCTTCTGTCCGAGTAAGATATTGAGCTCATCTTCGCCGCTGAGGACCATCGTGATGTCGTTCTTCCACGAGTGGTAGTTTTTCGTCGACTATTGTGTAGCCGGAAGGACAATAGCCGCTGTACGCGCTCGTCCAGTTGCGCTCGTCATCTATTCCATTTGGTGGTTTCGGACCGTGTTTGACCCCATCGATTGCCACGTCACACGTGATGTACCAGCCGACGAGCGTGTTGACGCTAAATCATGCCTGCGCAAACGACCCTCAACTCCCAGATGCTATTGACGGTGAGGACTCGCGGAGGCTCTGCTACTCTTAGAAATCGTTCGACGACAACCAACCTTCCTTCCTTCCCACACCATCTCCCCCGTTCCTGCCACAATACCGACAGCAAAAATCTCGACAACTTTCTTCGCTCTCAGCAACACTTTTTTTACGGATTACCCAGAAGATCCACGATGACCATCAGGTGCTACTATGCCCTGATCGGTGCAGCCCACACCGCGACAATCGAGAAGATAAAGGCAGCGATCAGGCTGGCCATTAAGGAGGTGAGGAGAGGCGCGATCCGGTATCACGATGTAAGTCCGCGCAATTCATCCTTGATATCATATTCCGCCACCATGATCACGCAGACTGATAGGTACTATAACCATGTAGCTCAGCGCGGCTGAGAACGTGCTGACCAGCCAGCGGTGTCGCGAAGAATACGACCGACGGCATGCTCGCGGATGTAAGTTTCTTTCCCTTGCGCATACCCACTTTCCTCGCTGATGATTGTGTTAGGCCAAGTGTGCATCAGGCAGCCCGCCGGATTGGAAGCCGAGTCCCCACTCGCGAGAATAGGCAGCCATCCCAGCCGCTCCAAGCAGCCAGTAGACGTCACCCGACGGGTCGGCGTCTACAAGACGTGTCCGCTTCGATCTCTCCTCGCTAAGCGGCAGAGGAAAGCTGGCACCTTTTCTCGGCCGCTCTGGGAAGCGGCTGATACGAAGAGGTGCGCGGCGGCGAAGGAGAGACTGGTGTTGGTGGCGGAGGGAGGGGCCACGGTCGATACGATCTGCGGACGTATGGGGTGGACCGTCGGCGCGAAGAGCAGAGATGAGTGAACTCCCTTCCATTTCCATGGCCGCAGGTTACGTGGCGAGATTTTTTACCTACGGGTTTTTCTCTAAAGAAACATCGTCTCCCTGGCCGCTGCACGAGGGGGCGAGGTTTTCTGCTTTGCTCAGGCGACTTTCCTGTTATGTGTCGCTAATAATTGACGGGTATGCATTCGTATGTACCTACCCATATAAAAAAAGGGGGTTTTTTAAACGTGAGCGGTGGGTTGGAAAATGGTTGCGCGATCATTAGATTTCACAAGCGGCCCCGCAGTATTGCGCAACTGTTCCGCAACTATTGCATCTAGAATAACGTGAGCCACGTAAAACGATGCGGAAATAAAATGATGATGGACAGTACACCCATTTTAAATTGTAAACTCGGCAAAAAGCCAGACAATGTGTGAATTTATCACACGTTGATCTAACGCTTAAGTAAACAGGAACTGGTGGAAATATAAAAACACAAGTTCGAGATGATATATCGTTGGTGCTCACATAAGCGCTTTCTTGGCATTTTTCTACCCTTGTCGTCACGTTTCAACAATTTAAACGTTGTCTTGGCATTTTTCTACTGTTTTCCGGTGTGGGGAGCGATGAGCGAGCAGCCACAAGAGGGAGTAATAACAGGAATGACTGAGTCAATCCGCGAGATGACTCTAGGAATGACAGAGTCAATCTGGTAAATAACTCTAGTAATGACGTAGTCAGTCCGTGAAGTGACTCTAGTCATCGAACAGGAATAACTGAGCCAATTCGCGAGATGACTATAGTAATGATTGAGTCAATCCGGTAGATAACTCTGGTAATGACTCAATCAGGTCTTGGAATGACACTAGTCATCAAACAGGAATGACTGAGCCAATCCAGTAAATGACTCTAGGAATGACTTAGTCAGTTCGTGAAATGACTGAAGTCATCGAACAGGGATGACTAAGTCAATCCGCTAAATGACTGTAGGAATGACTCAGTCAATTCGTGCAATGACTCAGGAGTTGTGGGAGGAGGCGTCGGCAAGAGGAGGAAGTGAAGGAGGACTCCTGTCGGTAGGAGAAGACGGATGTGGTTAGTACTCCAGAGGGCACCAACGTTGGCGAACATGGCGGGCATGGCGGGGTCGTATGCTCTCTTAGCCATCCGCCTCTTCTTCTTTTTCTTCTTCTTCTTCTCCCACAACCCCTTCTCCCCTCACATCTCCTCCTCCCCCCCGCAACTGCTATTCCCCCTCCCACCGCAATTGCTATCACCCCCTCCCACCGCATCTGCTATTACCCCTCCCGCCGCAATCTTCCCTGATAGCTTCTCTCGCTAATAGCTACTGTCCCCACAACTGCTATTCTCCACGCAAATGCTACTCTCCCCGCAGCTCCTCCCCTCTCTGCGGATAACCCATCGTGCCCACTGCAGATATAGCTCACCTTGCAGTAATGCTTCTCTGGCCGCCGTGGATGCTGGATGCTGGATGCTGGCCGCTGGCCCCGTAGGTAGTACTAGTACATCAAATAGAAATCCATTTAGGTGCTCAATGCGTCAAGACCAAGGTGAAAAATGCTGCATAAGCGAGAAAACCCGAGCCCAGTTTCCCACGTTGCAGTCCTACTCTCATATTTCAACAGTTCAAAAACGGTTCAAAAATGCCACGAAAACGATGCTGCAACGTTTTAATACACTCAAACGCTTTATTTCAACTACATAGGAGAGATTTGCAACATATTGAGAAAAAAAACTCGAAGTAATTCTTTAAATGTGTCGAATTGTCGGCCATTTAACTCTCTATAATCGGGATTACTTGTACTACTGCCTCCAATTTTCACGGGAAAAGCCTGTCAACTGTATATCCACTCCCTCCGTTGAAAACTTGCAACACGTCTGGAAATCCAACACGGACTGTACAATGTTTTCAGTTGCTTCTGTAGGTCAATAATTTGGCATGTGTGAAATTCTCAACTATCACGATGTGGTATTTACTTTTCCTACGGGTTTGACAAAACATAATGGCACAACAGTCGCTCCACTGTTAAAAAAAACCCCTTTTTTACAAGGGTAGGTGGGTAGTCACTCGTGCGATGCTGCGAGCCTACCAGAGCAATATTCATTCTTGGTTTCAAACGCCTATCCGGGAGCCTGAGGATGTGTATGCACCTCGCCCTTCGCCTACAATAGTGTATCTCTTTCCACAACATATGAGAAACGCTGAGCGTAGAAGATGTGCTGTTAGTCGCAACTGCCGCAATGAACTCTACTTCAGTCTTGTCATGGATGCTATAAACAATCACGAAGAGTGGGACGGTTTCTGTACTTTTAAACATTTTTTCTGGATTTCTATAAAAAACAAAAAAAACATAACAAATATTTCACCCTTCCATAGTCTCCTCGTCCCACGAATAAAAATTTGGATCCGCCGGTCACCAGGAAAAGGTATGGACTCAACTGCAACTACACTCGAGCCTGGAAAATACTCGAGGCTTAGGGGAAGGGGGGGAAAGGAATTATTGAGGAAGCAACACAGAAAGCAACGCGGAAAGCATCACACAAAGCAACACAAAAGCAAACACAGGAAATCGAGGACCTACCTTACAAAGAGGCCATATGGGCCTCCTCGAGCCGCTGTCCGATCTCTTGCAGCCACACACGCCCCTCTTCCAGCGTTGCGAACATGCACACCTCCGCCTGGGGGTGACGCAGTTGCTCCAGCTGCTGCCATCGCTGCTCGCAGAGCCAGATGAAATTCACCCCTCCCATGCGAAGCAACTCAGGCTGCTGCTGAGCCTGCCAGACCAACTTCTGATAGGTCTCCAGTAGGTCGGCCTCGCTCTGCATGTTGATCACAGCTAGTACCTACGACAGGTAGGCGTATTGAAATGACACAATACACTCGTACTCCCGCTCATGGAACTGGTACTCCTGCAGAAGTTGCTGCCGCAGCGTCATCAGAGGGGTGCTGCTGGCTTCTGGCTGATGCTGCGACTGCCGCTTCGCAGCGCTTGGATCTGCCGCTCCTCGTAGATTCTCAGACTCGTCTCGAACTGCTGCTGACGCTGCTGCTCGGTCTGGGCGACGATCGTCGGAGGCGCGGACGAGATCACTGGCCCCGGTACCGGCGACTGTTCCCTCTGAGATTCAGCCTGCAGCGGCTGTGGCTGGACAGGGGCAGGTGCTGGCCCAGGAGCAGAAGTAATCGGCGCAAGTTGCACCGGAGTCTCGGCTTGGGCTTTCGCCTGAGCCGAGACCTGGGCCTGAGCCTGGGCCAGAGCTTGGGCCAGAGCTTGGGCCAGAGCTTGCGCGATAGCCTCAGCTTTTGCCCGCTTCTTTGCTAGAAGCCGGGCGTTCTTCTGCTCCGCCTGGGCTCTGGCTTGCGCCTGAGCCTGAGCGTCGGCATCTGCTTTCGCAATTGCCTCAGCTGTGGCCTGTGACAGCCTCTGCTTGTCCGCATCACCGGCAAGTTCCCGAGCTGTGGCATCGGCTTCCGCTTGGGCTTGGGCAAAAGCCCTCGCCTTCACATCCGCTTCCGCCTGAACTCGTTCACGAGCCTCAGCTTCCACCTGTGCCTGCTTCTAGCGGGCCTCCTCATCAGCCTGTGCGCGAGCACGAGCCTCGGTGGCCGTCTGAGCCTTGGCTGGTGCCTCTTTCTGGAGGTTCATTTGATTGGCCCATGCCTGAGCCTTGGCCGCTGCTTCCGCTTGGACTTGGGCAATAGCCCTCGCCTGCGCTTCCGCTGCCGCCTGTGCCCAAGCTACCTCCGCGTCGGCTTGGGCTTAGGCTAAAGCCCTCGCCTGCGCCTCCGCATCACGGCCCGCGCCAGAGCCTGCGCTTCCGCTTCCGCTTGGGCCTGAGCAAAAGCCCGAGCCCTCGCCTCCGCTTCTGCCAGCGCCCGAGCATGTGCTGCCTGTGCCCGAGCATGTGCTGCCTCTAATTCCTGCATGGCCTTAGCCTGAAGCTGGAGCTAAGCCTGACGCTGGAATTCAGCATCACGGGCCCGCGCCTGAGCCTGGGCATCGACTTCCGCTAGGGCTTGGCCAAAAGGCCACGCCCACGCATCCGCTTCCGCCTGCTGCTGAGCACAAGCCTGAGCACCCGCCCTGTCCATTACCTTCGCTTGCGCGAAGGTCCTGGGCTTCGGTCTTGGTTGGATCTCCCAGGTCAGGATCTGCCTGAAGGCTCCTCCAACCTTTGTCTTCGTCGCCTTAGACAGATCAGCGCGCGTGTCGGCCATCTGCTTCATCAGCCGAATCTCATCTACGAGCCGTTCGACAGCCATACCGTTCCCCTTCTGTTAGCAATCTTGGGCGGCGACCACGAGCTCTTCAGCTCGCTTCACCAAGCCCCTGTCGCGCAATATGTTCAAGGCCGCGGGATATGGGGAAGGGGGAGGGGGAGGGGGAGGGGGAGGGGGAAGGGCAAATCCAGAGACCGGCCGACGCGAATTCTCAGCGTGCGGCAACTTTGCGCCGTCTAGATCCTCGGTTGCTCGTCTCTTCGACCCGGTGCTAGCACCAGGGTGGACGGCGTGACTGGGCCCAATAACGGACGCAGCTGCTGGGGGGGGGAGGGGGAGGGAGGGAAAGGGGTTGACTCCCCGCCCGGGACAACCACTTCTCGGGTAGAGCCCCTTCAGGTTCGTCGATCGCTCTTCGTTTGACCATTGTGGGTGCGGGAAAAAGTAAATGTGAGGAAAAGATTGTCGCAGGAAGTGGAGGGGGAGGTGGTCAAAGGAAGTGCGATGTAGAGGAAAACCGAAAAGGAAAGGAGGGGTGGGAATGGGTTCTTTTATAGGTGAATCTGCTATCGGCGAAAACCTGTTTTCGACCTCAACTCGCCGTTGCAGCCATTCACGCGCTGTCACTCGCCCCTTGCAAATGAAAACGTTTTGGCCGACAGTCAGATGACTAAGGTCGCGTAGGGAAATGTCTCCATACCTTAGACAGGAAGTATAATAGACATTATTGTTCACTCTGATGGCAGCAATATTGTCCCGCAATTTGTGAATAGTATCATGATCAATTTTAGCTTGTTTACGGGCAGCGGCCTTTACCAGACTATGGCGACCACCAACTTCCCGTTTCCTGTCCGCTCCGCGGAGTAGAGAGAAACCACTATCGCCTCGGCTTGATGCTACGTTGCTGCCTACCAAACAAAACACCATCACCAAGCTCATTGTCCACCTACCAAATAAAACACCACCACACTCATTGACCCGCACCAACCAGAGACACAGTATTCCGGCAGAAACTCCGGCTCGGCCACGGAGGTGTCTCTCCCCACATCGGCCTCCCTTTCTGCTGTTAAGGTTTTCTTTCCCACCTTCGTCGACCCTAAAATCTTAGATATTCTAACACTGCGTCCGAGCAGCGCTCGTCTGCGAACAAGTCTGCCATGCCAATTCCCTTTTTTCCCTTCTAGTTTCGTTCTTGATCCTCGCCTACATTGCCGTCTGTTGGACGGCACAGCGGTCGGAGAGAGTAGGAAGAACCGGATGTGAACTACAGTCATGATCTCCTCAGGTCAAATGCTAAGATGATTAAACGAAAACGTTGTCGGTGAGAGGAGGAACTGGTTACTGATGAATCGGCTGTCAGCGAGCGGGGAACGATGGAGGGAGTGTGGATGATTATGGTAGCCAGCGAGGAGGGAGCGAATTCAGCTTGAGAATCTGTCCGCTCGGCCTCTCTTTCTCTCATATCATCATCTACAGCATAGTTAGGCGATCAACGCCGTCTACATCCTTGTTCCTCTGTGTGTGCTGTATCTCCTCTCGACCCCGCCGCACGCGTTAAGGATGCTAGTAAAAAGAGCCATCAACAAAAATGTGATGTTTTATTTCGGAACGGGTTTTGTGGAATTATTGGTAATGCCGAGTCATAGCAGGTGCCGATGGAGGAGGGGGTTACAATTGAAAAAGCAAGAAGGTCACTAGCAGTGATCATGGCTCGGTTGGAGCGAATTTCCCGAAAGGTGGGGGGGTCACCAAGCCCCAAGGTCCTTAGCTGTTACAACGGTAGCAACCCTGGGGAGGATGCTAGATTGGGGTCCCATAGAGGATTCGTCTAGACGGTGGGGACGGGGCCTATCCAGTTCACTGCATAATCGCGAAGCAGGATCCTTTGGTATGCGATCCTGTTCCCATATCTAGACTTACGGGAGAAATGTAGTTCGAAATCACTCGAAAAAGAGTTCAATACCAGGCCTCAATCACAAATTTTATTTCATCACACCCCATTTTATTTATCATCAGTTTTCCCAAGAGTACCCCGAGATTCCTAATGAGCACCCCTAACTACTGGATGTTACCTTCATCTCTAGGCAATAAGCTCAAGGTTCCGGACTGATAGCAGCGAGGACAGATGTACTTGCGCCCATCATCGACCTTTTCTCCCGAGTAAAAGAAATAGGACCTGTGGATGCAGCCATGGCCGCAAGGAATCAACTTGAGTCCGCTACCGTGTGCCACCGACTTGTCGCAATAATTACAGGCCGTGTGGACGGGCATCCCGACGATGTACTGGTGACGGTGTAGTAGTGCGTGTAGGTAGTAGTGAGTGTTGACGAAATCGGTAGTAGTGGTCAGTACTGTGAAGGCGTTGTAATCTTCGCAGTTCGTCGTAGATGCAAGCAGAGGCAGATATCGTGGATGCAAGTCGTCATTCTCGTAACTCCTTGTGGATGCAGCTGGAGGTAGATGTCGTGGATATCGTAGAGGTAGATGTCGTGGATGTCCAGCTTGTTTATTAAAGTGAAGAGGGAGGAGTGGGGAGCTCGTATTTATGCCACGAGCTACGATGACAGTGGAGATAGAAAGACGCTGAGAGGGCAGATCCCTACTCACATCGTGAAGCCACATAGAAACAAGAAGTTAGGTTTCTTGCCCTGTATCGTCGTGATCATGGAAGCTGGTCCTTTGCGATGCTTATGTAGCTATGTACTCACATCCTGTTATTTAATCACAGAACTAATCTATTGTGTATCTACATACTAACATCTTATGATCTGCCACCTAATCATCCTTCGAACTGCGCCTACAACTTTGCGCCATCAAAGTTAACATTACTGCTCGAGATTGGAGAAATTGTGAAGCTGATATCAAAGCTATGTTCCATGTTCTTCGAAACGTTCAGATGTAGGTTTATCGTTTCTCTGCGTTAAAGTAGCAAAAAATCCGCATCGAATGGTCTTCAGGCCTGGGAATAGTCCGTCCGGACGGAAGACTATTGGGGTCCGGCGGCGCCGTCCCATCTGGGGCGAGGATTTGGCCGGACGAGTCGGGCTCCGTCCGAGGTCCAAAAAGCCCGTGGGGCCCGGAAATGTTTAGTGCGAAAGCGGCTGGCTACTAAGTGTACGGTGCCGCCGTGCTGCCAACTCCTTAGCGCCACTAGCGAAGGCTAGTACTAGCGCCAGCATTTCGGGGTCTGAATGGGGCCTAAGTAGTCCTCCGGCCTGCCCGGAGCCCTATAGTTCTTGATATTCCGGGCCCCACAAATTCCGTCTCGTCCAGAGCATAGCCAAGGACGGACGGGACGGACGATTCCCAGGCCTAACATTGATCTTGATGCTGGTCCTAGCAACGGCTCCCGCCACACCACCTGTCATTCACCCCAGGGGTCTTGTTCACGATGCACGCATTTCTGGTCTAGTATGGCATCGAAACCTTCTTGAGAGGTGTCCCGGCGATAGCTGCCACACTGTTCTAACTTCTCAGTAAATTCTGTACCAAGCAGTATTGACGGTTTCGGAGCAGAATTACCCAATGTATCCTGCCCTACGTGGCCGCAGGCAGTACTGGCTAGTACCGCGTCCGGTGATGCAGCGATAGCAGTACTGCTCTGTACCGAGCAGTACTAAGCGTTACTCTACTGTACCGCCAAATGTGTGCCGGCAGTCGCGACTGTAGGTATTATGCGGCGATAGTCTGCTACTGTGTATTCAGTACCAGACAATACGGTTGTCGAGCAGCAAAAGGCCTACGGTACCAGTCGATACCCGGCATTACAGATTAGTGCAGCGGAGTGAAATATGAGCGCAGCGTGCCCTTCCTTGTTACGACGCAATTAGGTCCTGAATACGCCACCACAGGTGCTCGGTTTAGCGTCTGGGTTTTGCATCCTATGCCGAAACTGAGTTGCATCTTCCGACTATTACAGAGAGGTGAGGGGCTTTGAAGGGTCGTAACCCTGGACGCGCAAGACTTGTGAGAGCACACTTCAAAGTCACTAGCGCCAAGGCTGCAGATACCCCAACCACTCCCTTCCACCTTCTCTCCTCCTTCTTCCTTTCTTTTCTCTCCACGCTTCTTGTTCACACACTGCTCACTGACAACTTCGACTTTCTGTCCTGCCTACTCTTTGAGTTTTTGCGAACAACCTTAGCGACACGATCCGACGGTTTACGACCTCGACTGCCTCTTCCCCAGTCTCGACATTTTTCCCCACCCTTTACTCCTCACTTTCTCCCCTCACCTTTTCTCTTCTCATTCAAGTCATACCATGGCCCGATTAACCCACAAGATTCAGAAGCGTCCACCGCGCGTTGGCAAGAAGAAGTTGGCAGCACAGCAGAAAGCCGCCGCTGATCGAGCTGCAAAGCTGGCTGCGTTTAAAGCCGCACAACTCCGAGGCGATTTCGATGATGACGACGCAGAGGAGGATAAAGATAATGACATCGAAATTTCCGATGCTCCAGATTACGACGGTAGCTGTGATGATGGTTCAAATGCCGAAGAGCTTGATCCTAAAGATCCTGCAAGTCAAGGACTCGATGCCCAGAAAGATAATAACCTCCCGCAAGACAACAACTTTACTACCCATGGATCCGTTCGCGAGGACGCGAATCAGACGTCTGCTATCTTAACTTCTGGTAATCAAACTGAGGTCGCCAGTGATGCCGAAGACGTACGTATCAACCTTTCCTTCTGGTGTGGAGCTGGATTTGACTTTTTATAGAATGAAGATGATGAGGATAATTTTAGCGTTGATGAAGAGGACGATGAAGAAAATCTCAATATTACTGAAGAGGAAGAAGATGCCAATCCCAGCGTTGCTGAGGAAGATTATGAGAGTACGATCATGTCAGACGGCGAAGTACGTATCCACTTTCCTTGATCGTGTAGGGCTGGGATTGACTGTTTGCAGGATGAGGATGATGAAAATGGTAGCGTTGCTGTAAAGGAAGAAGAAGAGAGTGATGCTTCGACCCCCGGCACTCCTGTACGTATCAACCTCTCTTTCGCATTTGGGGCTGTGACTGATTGTTTACAGAATGGAGATGATGAGAATGAGAAAGCCAGCGTTGCTGAAGGACAAGATGAAGACAATGCGATCATCATTTTAGATGACGAAGTACGTATCAAAGTTTCTTCATCGTGTTGGGGTGTGGCTGATAGTTTATAGAATGATGATGATTACAACGTTACCGTTGCTGAAGAGGAAGATGATGACATGGTCAGCGTTTCTGAAGATGATTATGAGAAGACTGCGATTGTAATTTTGGACAACGACGTACGGAACAACCTTTCTCTCCGGTGCGGGGCTGCGACTGACTGTTTACAGAATGACGATGACGACAATATTGGCGATGTTGAAGAAGAGGAAGAGAGTTATGCCTCGCCTCCCAGCCTTCCTCATATTGAACCTCTTGTGTCTTCGGATGCGCCTAGTTCTCCACACGGCAGCGTCTCTGCCGAGAATCCGCATACCCCAAGTGCACCACACCGCAGTATCTCTCCCCAGCATCCGCCTGCTGCAGATTCACCACACCGCAGTGTCTCTCCCGAGCATCCCTTTGCCACACGTTTTCCACGCCGAAGCGCGTCTCCAGAGGATCTGTCCGTGGCCCGCCTGCTCAATTCACCCCAATCCTCAATCCCACCATCTCAAGCTTCCGAGTTCGCCGCCGCGCCGGCCAAATATCCCGAATCTGCACCAGGAGCGGATAATTCCGGGGATGAGGAAGAATCTGTGGTCCCGACCCCTGCCGCCCCCTTAAACACCCGTTCCCGCGAGGTACGCTCAGCGAGGCCTGAGAGAAGGATCTCCGCCGCGAGCCAGGCGGAAGTTAATGCCTCGTACGAGCAATCGTACCTCTGGTATTATCTTCCGCCTGTCGCTCAAGGCAAGCCGGCCGCGCGCGGTGCAGAATCCCCCCGCGGAAAGACGTGGGAGGGCCCGGAGCGACAGCTCCGGAAGAAGCGTGGGGACTCCACAGACAAAGTGGGAAAGACGCGAAAGGCCTACCAGAAGCCTTCGGCTCCAAGAGCCACGCGATCCGCCAAGAAGGCGGCAGCTCCCAGTGACTAAGTCCGGGATGCTAAGACCGAGGCGCAGATCCCTGCCGGTGGGGGGCAGATGGACTGTGACCTCGGGAAGCCGCTGTAGAGGCCGACGTCGGGAAACTGGACTGCGGAGCCGATGAAGCTGCAGTCGGGGCAACGAGGTTGCTCCTGACGTCAAGATGGGTGACGTCGAGCCCAGCGAGGCTGTCGTCGTTGTCTCTGGCTCGAAGACCATCCGCGCCTGGGTCGGCAACGACGTCGGCCCTTCTTCTGGATCAATACACTCGCCAACAGTGGTGGCGGGGGGGGCACCCCTATCGCCGTTGAGAGTCGTTATTGAGACTTTTTTTTTTGTTTAATCATTGCTTGCATGCGACCTATCTAGATCATAACAATATCACCACGTTACATAATTGAGACTTCTCGCTGCCGTCGATACACCTGGTGTTGATTTGCATATGTTGGTTTCATTGATCCTTCACTAATACCACTCGTTTGTTTCATTGATCCTTCATGGCTATCACTCTTTTATTTCATTGCTTGTCACGAGTTCGCTCTCTTGTTTCTGCATGATTAGCATCTCTTATCCTCTCACATATAAAAGGGTCTGATCCTGTCCATATAGCTAGACATCATCTAAGACATCTTTCGGTCGAATATCATCCTGCATATCCACCACCAAAACGTGAACACATGGTATCACTCGGCTGGCGAGTGATGCACAGTGATACGCTGCTTGAGAACTCCGGAACAGTTTGGGACAGGCCACGGCGGGGGCAGGGAAAGTCTCATCGAGCCGCCTGATAAAAGCTGGGTTAGACAGCGGTGGGGAAGCGGGGGTGATGAGCCGGTAGATATTGCATATTGAAACTAGGTAGGTAGACGCCCGTGCAGTTGCGATGAAGGTGGCCATGACTTAAGTCTTCCACCTTGTACATAGCCTCCAGTATGTAGGGGGAAATGGGAAGTTTTTTCTTCTACGGGGACGCATGTTCCATATTATCGCTACCTGAAACCACGGCTGGTAAGGCCATAATTATCGTTGATCTGGCTATCTGCCTACGACAAGTATCCGGTACTCAGCTGTACATAACTGTCACAAGTTGCTTCTACATTTATCTAGAATAGAGGTTCTGTCCATTCATTTTCCGGCATCGGGTGATTTCCAAGATCAAGCTATGTGACTGCGTACCCGCGAGGTTGTGACTGGAGTGGTCGTAGGTGAAACACATCTAAATAAGAGATCTTCTCTCGTGATGTAACTCATGGGCTTCACCGGAGCAAGGATTTTAGGCACCAAGAAGACCCGGTCGTCAATATCCATTCTGTCGGACTCGTGCCGGACCCATCCGTCGTGTGGAGTTGGTCCTGAAGTAGAGGACAGCTGCGTTTAGAGATCACATTTTCTCGGGAAGGGAAGCTGCGGGATAGAGTAAGGAAAGTAGAGTACCGTTTCAGAGCTCTCAGGAGTTCAAACACCCAGACGGCTCACTTAGGTCGAAAAGAACAGTGTGTACTCTACTTATAAAGCCCGAAACAAAAACCTCGCCGCCTCGCATGCAGCCAGGTAAACGATGTTTTTGTTCTAGAGGAAACCCGAAGGTGAACCCCCTTTCGGATGTTTTGTTGTGTTTGAATGCTTCTTCAACCGTCTCGAACCTACCCTTGTAAAAAAAAGGGGGGTTTTTTAAACGTGAGCGGTGGGTTGGAAAATGGTTGCGCGATCATTAGATTTCACAAGCGGCCCTGCAATATTGCGCAACTATCCCGCAACTATTGCATCTAGAATAACGTGAGCCACGTAAAACGATGCGGAAATAAAATGATGATGGACAGTACACCCATTTTAAATTGTAAACTCGGCAAAAAGCCAGACAATGTGTGAATTTATCACACGTTGATCTAACGCTTAAGTAAACAGGAACTGGTGGAAATATAAAAACACAAGTTCGAGATGATATATCGTTGGTGCTCACATAAGCGCTTTCTTGGCATTTTTCTACCCTTGTCGTCACGTTTCAACAATTTAAACGTTGTCTTGGCATTTTTCTACTGTTTTCCGGTGTGGGGAGCGATGAGCGAGCTGCCACAAGAGGGAGTAATAACAGGAATGACTGAGTCAATCCGCGAGATGACTCAGGAGCTGTGGGAGGAGTTGTCGGCAAGAGGAGGAAGTGAAGGAGGACTCCTGTCGGTGGGAGAAGACGAATGTAGTTAGTAGAGGGCCGCAAAATTGGCCCGCATGGCGGGCATGGCGGGGTCGTACGCTCTCTTAGCCATCTGCCTCTTCTTTTTCTTCTTCTTCTTCTCCCACAACTCCTCCTCCCCCCACATCTCCTCCTCCCACCGCAACTCCCCCTCCCGCCGTAACTGCTATCCCCCCTCCCACCGCAACTGCTATTAACCTCCCACTGGAACTGCTATCACCCCCCTCGCCGCAACTGCTATTTCCACCCTCACCTATTCCCACTCCCACTTATCCCCACTCCCACCTATTCGCCCCGCCGCAACTGCTATTCCCCCTCCCGCCGCAACTCTACTCTCACCGCAGCTCCTCCTTTCCCTGATAGCTTCTCTCGCTAATAGCTCACCTTGCAGTAATACTTGTCTAGCCGCTGTAGATACTGGCCGCCGTAGATACTTTGATACTGGATACTGTGATACTGGATACTGGATACTGGATACTGGATACTGGATACTAGACATCAGATATTAGATACTGCATACTGACCGCCGTGGATACTGGCCGCTGGCCTCGTAGGTAGTACTCGTAGAATATAAATCCATGTGCTTAGTGCTTCAAGACCAATGTGAAAAATCCTGCATAAGCGAGAAAACCCGAGCCCAGTTTCATCTCTGATATTCACACGTTGCACTCCTGCTCCTCAAGTTTGAACAGTTCGAAAATGCCAAGAAAATGCCAAGAAAACGATGTTGCAACGTTTTAAGGCACTTAAACGCTTTATTTTAACCACATAGGGAATTGCTGGCCATTTTGCTGTCTATAAAAAGGATCACTTGTACTACGGCTTCCAATTTTCACGGGAAAAGCCTGTGAACTGTATATCCACTCCCTCCGTTAAAAACTTGCAACACGTCTGTGAATCCAACACGGACTGTACAATGTTTTGAGTGGCTTCTATAGGTCAATAATTTGGCATGTGTGAAATTTTCAACTATCACGATATGGTATTTACTTTTCCTACGGGTTTGACAAAAAATAATGGCACAACAGTCGCTCCACTGTTAAAAAGAAACCCCTTTTTTTACAACGGTAGTTACTTACGCAGGCGTTGGGATGATAGATCGCGAAGGAGTAGTTGGGCGAGTGCACGCCGTGGGACTTTTCTGATACTATCCCTGATCGAAGTTGAAGTTGTTGATCGCTCCGGCGCACGAGCCGATGTCGGATGCAGTGTTTGTCCTGTATCAAACTCGTATATTCTCCGCATTAGCCTTTCTAGCACATGATACCCGTGAGATAACCTTGGAGATGGAAGCGCTATCGAGAATCACCTCGTCAGCATGCTGGAATACACAGTACATTTTTGAATCCAATTCATCCTCCGGTTGTGTTGCCAATCTCATTAATTTTGTTTTCGGGTAAAGCACTCGGAGTGAGAGGGTTGAGTTACTTGATGTTTACTTTTTGTTTTTGGCGCGTTTGTGGCGAAGTAGGTACTAAGTAGCAGAGTGATGGTTATATTCGTGCGGGTGAGTCGAACCACGAAATTTTAAGCAGGGGGAATATGAGACACCAGATGAAGTAACCGACATTCAAGCCATGATAAAGCTGGCCTATACTTCATGACGGAAACAACTGAGGGGTTTCAGAGGAGAGAGAATGTCCAATTTGCTTGTGGAAGAACTTTGCAGACTTCTTCACTCCATCTCACTCGAGGCTTACATGATCGACGTCATTCGTAAGCACCTGGCCCGATCGCTTCAGCATCCGCCATCTCTTCGCTGACAAGCGCTGCAGTGACGCAATCCTAAAGTTCTTAGCAATAACCCATGCTACATGTAGGGAGACTAGCTCTCCCGGTTCGGGAAGGGTCAGTGGCCATCGAGTCCTCAGAGTGCGAGCAGGCACAGAGGGAACATGAGAAACAGCTGGAGGAGAGGAGAGCGCAAGACGCTATCAGCCTGGATTTTGAAGGGGACATGGTGGCGGAGGGGGGCCAAGGCTTCTGCTCTACTGACGCCGCCCCTCATGGCCTCTCCGGGCGCGACAGAATAGTGAGAGAGGAAGAGGAACTTGTTCGAGCTTTTGTTCGTAGTTGTGTTTTTTCCTTTGTATTCCGGGTGCCTAGGCGGAGCACCGGAGACTTGTAAACTTACGCCGTACACTCCGTCTGACATGATAAATGTGGTACAGCGGAGGTGCAGCGGTGGCAAGACGATGGGGATTTAATTTGGCGGACCTCGCTTCGTCGTTGTGTTGTTATTATCCATCGCAGGGTGGAATGCACCACTTTATGAGGTTCGAATTCATATATGCAGCACGGAAAAAACCCGCGTGGTCTAGTGGTCTAGGCCATGCAATCGACGAGGGGAGTTGAGGGAATATCCCCGGTTCAAACCCGGGTGAAAGCCTTGTCAGTTCTTGGGCTTCCTAAGCCACCCACCGGGGGTGGTGATGGTTTTTGTTTTTGGTTTTCGGCGTGACGCAAGGAGCACTAATTAGATATCACTCGGTAATATCACGTGACACACCTCACGCTACCGGCTGTGGAGGCGAGAAATTAGAATACAGCCATGAGAGAGAACACCAATTTCCTGCCGCAATCGCAATGAATGATGAAACCAAAAAAAAGCTAGGAGGCTTTGTGTTCCAATCGGAAATCAGGCGCCGACCTAGCAATTCTACGCTCATATTTCGCCGCTCGAAATAGGTTTAAATATTCCCCCCAGCTTCACATTCCCAACCCTTCCTTCTTCACCTCGCTCACCTTCAAACCATCACTCACACGAAACAAAAAGTCCTCCATTTCGATTTAACCATACCCCTGCACCCAACTATCA